AACACTCCAGTGCCCATAGATTAATACAAGTCAGATTCATTTACTACGAAAAAGTTTGATTGCAGCCACTGAGGACGATACACAAGTTTCACGATCAATTTTTTTTTTTAATTTTATATAAATATATGTCACAAACTTTATCATAAGATAATTGAGTTATAAGAGGACGCCACAAAAAAAAAATACTCGTTTTGTATTTTTGTATATACATACACATGCATACACATAGAGATGTCAAACGAGCCAACTCGGATCGTTTGAGGCTCGGCTCGTTTGGTTCGGATCGTTTTGGACTCAGTTCGTTGGGCTCGTTTTCTAACGAGGCAGAAAAACTTCGACTCAGATCGCTCGTCAGTTTTCCGATCTGAACGAGCCGCTCGTTGAACCAGAGATATATAATATTTTTTATTTATATTTATTCTAAATTTAACTATAAACATAAAAAAATTAATAAAACTCTAATATCATTTAATATTTTCAATTATCACCATCAAAATAATTAGGATATTTATATATCATATGAATGATATGAGAAAAAAAGGAATATAAAATTATATTAGAGTTTTTTTTATATAAATTTAATTTATTTTTAAAAAAAATATATATATATTAGACACATACATGTGAATACACACATAGAGATACCTGGATACATATGTACATATACACGGTTTAAATACCCGTAAAGGCCCAGCCCACAGATCATATGAGCCTTTAAGATAACGGGCCTTATGGGCTGAACAAATTTAAATACCCACACTGAGCCCTTTTTTGAGACCCATGAAACGAATATCTTTTAAAATAATAAATTTTGTCATAATTGTTTTTTATTTTATTTTGTCTTACACAGACCATGATTTAAAATTTGAAAACCAACGGTAACCGCTTCAAAACGTTAGAATTAGAATGGCGTCTTTTCACCTACCCGGTTGACTGATTGCAGTTTCAAATTTGAAAACAATCATAAAATAAATCATTATATTGATTAGAAGTCGTGACAAGTAGGTTAGATGGCATTAATCGCATTTACAAGCTACGTTTAATTAGAGAATTACTGTATCCATTTATTATTGAAAAAAAAAAGAATAAAGTAAAATGAAATATGATTAAATCTATTATTGGATGTACAAACAGATCCCACGACAATCATACATACCATCGATCCCTCTATCGAATATTACACGTGTCGGCAGCCCATTACACCATTCCGAAATAATTACCTTCCCCGAACCCAAACTCAAATGAAATCACCAACCACAGCGCATAACGTAAATTAAAACGATCAAATCAATGTAGCAAAATGCGAAATAAATCAAATATTACAGAACAGCAAAAATAAATTAGAAAAAATAAAAATAAAACACATCTCATGTCCAAGAGGACGTGAGGGTCTCAGGCCAAAAGGACGGCGTAGAGACCGGCGGAGAAGATGGCGGCGGCGGCGAAGGCGTTGTTGGAGAAAGCGGCGTTGGGAGGAGACGGAACATCGGCGGAGGGACCGGCGACTGGTCCGCCGGGGCTCTGGGCGGGACCTGCCGGAGCCGGTGGGGACGCGGAGGGGACGTCGGCTGGAGAAGGAGCGGCCGACACCGGAGGAGTGGCGGGTGCAGGTGTCGGGGCCGCGGGGGTGGGGGTCGGGGCCGGAGGCGGAGTGGTGGTGGGAGCGGGGGTTGGCGCCGGCGGAGGAGGAATGGCGGCGGGCGGCGGAGAGGTGGCGGAGGGAGTAGGGGCCGGGGCTTGAGCGAAGCATGACGTGGCCAAGAGACCCAAGATTAGGACAATTTGGAGAATCTTAGAACTCATCTTGTCCGATGAAGAGTGATGATTCCTCTTTCTTTCTTCTGGTTCTAGAGAGAGAGAGTGATTGGAAGTTGTGGGAGTGAGGAGGAGAGGGCGGTATAAAAAGGGAGGAGAGAGAGAGATTGATAATTAAGAAAAATATAAAACGAAAGAGGGAGTGGATCTGATTAATATGAGGTGTAATTTCAATGAAAAAGATTAATAATAATGGAGATCCCTAAATATTTAAATGGAATCAAAGTTGGAGAATAACATGGAAGCGCATCATGTGAACATGGGGTTGGCTCCCAATATTCGTTCATGACTACCCACTTCACATAATAAATATATTGCAAAATAGTTTTGATTTTAAAATATCACTGTATAATATGTGTACCATTTATCTCGTTATTTTTTTTAAATAAATGATCATAAGTTAATTGTTCATCATGAATCTTACAATCTACAGTCATGTGATGGATCATAAGTTAATTATCAATTACATTAAATATATAAAACAGCTGTAACATCAGAGTGGACCGTTTCAACTAATAATTAATTTCTTAGTAAAAATCAAATCATAAACAACCAGAAACTATAAAAAAAAACAAACGTTTAATTTCAAATGTCATATCTTCCGGCGGACGAAAACCATATTTTTCTCGAACGAAAGGGAAATAAATTCTCTCTTTCCAAATCAGAATTTCTCCGTTTACACCTAACTCGGACCTACCAGACTGCGACACGTTGTCTTGAAATTTCGTGTAATTTCACCGAACGCCAGCATACCAACTCGGCGAACCGACTCAACTCAGTCCCTGGCCAAAAGGGTCGGCGAGCCGGCGACTCGGACCATTTCGAGGTTTGCATCATCAACTCGGCTTCCTAATCTGTAAATTTATTCCCGTAATTTCCGGTATATTATTGTAATCGGTCCACACATTAATGGATGGTAAACACATAATAATTCCCTCTGTCAGTGCACGAATTACATATATATCGTAATATATTGTCAAGTTGGTTGATTTTCCAATACATTATCACTTTTAAAATAAATAAATACGAAAAAAGAGCAATCTCTTATCCACGCGGCATCGAATTGACCTTTGATTTGATAATAATCACAAGATTAATCAAAGTTTTTTTTTAAAACAATAAAAAAATGTTAATTAGGTGAACAATCCCTCCCTTAGCTGTAATGGGATGTAACTATAATTGGAGAGAGAAACAACGTGTATATACATGTACATACTATATATATATATGTAATGTAACATGGCATGCATATTAGGCGTGGACGATGGGAGACAGCTAACATGTTCAGTTCACTTGGCAACTTCGCATGTCTTTCTGTCGACTTGATCATCTCCTAATTTAATTATTTTTCGGCTTAATTTATAATTTATAAGCCGACGCCACAAATTTGTGATGATCGCTGGTGCATGTGCATGGCATATAAACGGGGTTAATAATATTGTCATTAATTAAATTTGGTATCATAGTTATTTCTTATGCCCTTAATTATAATTATGCATGGATAATAGGGGTTGGGTGAAGCTGTCATGTCAGAGATATTTTTAAAACATTTTCGGACAGAACATAGTGATAGCCTGTAAAGGTTATTTTGGACAGTGATTTTCGAAGGTGGATTCGTCTTTTTTCTCGTTTTATTTTAATTTTTTTTTGTCTGTCCAATAAACTATGTCCGTTTTCGTCATATATTTCTAACCGCACATTATCTCTAATCTGAATAAATGTTAAAAAAAAACCCTTGAGAAAATTAAACTAGTAACTATAACGAAACCTAAATTCGGACCGCTAATTGGATATTAACATGATGATTTCACGTGTTGTTACGGAGAATCCTCTGCTTGGGCACAGGAATAACCCAAAACTATACGGAGCTACCAAGTACCAATGGTGGTGTGCATTTGGTACTGTGTCGAATTGTAGGACAGTTATGTTCCTGTTGCCAAACAGTCTGTGATCTGAGACAGGGCTTAGGCCTTGGGGTTTAATATTAGGGCAACGTCGTCATCGGAAAATCTCCATCCGCTTCGAAAAAAACCCATAAACCCTAGAGTCCTCTGCCTTCGTGGCTTCGGAACAAGTGATCAGAGATCCTTACGGCGCAGATAAGTAAATGGCTGGAAACTGTTCTCCGAAATCTCGATCTCGAATTCCTCGATGGTCCGTTTCCGATCGAAGGCTTCTTCCTCCCACCGTGTTACGATCCGAACCAGAGTAGCAAGGTTCATCTCGAAAGTACCCTCTTTTTTTGTTATAATTACGAATCAGTTTCACGTCCGACAAAAAAAAGTTCAGATTTTGTTTTATAAAACTGGCAAGGTTTATTGACGAATTGCGATTGGGATGATGACGTAGTAGAAATTTGATTCCGTTTAATGGTTATGGAGTGACTCGATAAAGTTTTAGACGTTGGGAGCTGAAAACAGAGAGGCTCTGCATGGCGAACGTCGTTCCAGTGTTGATGTTGAACTCGAATGCTTGACCGAGTTAAGTCTGCTGCTGTAACAGGGACGCAAAAACAGGTACTTACTACTTAGACAACCTCGGATCGAATTTCCAAGTCATTGAGTTCTCGTATCTGTGATTATGATGAGTATCTACATATGATTCAATCTTTAGTTTCTGTGTTTTTTTGGCTGTACCCTCTAAAAAGAAAAGTTTACATCACACAACCAAGATGCAGAATGGATGTGTGGGTAGGAAACTAGTTGAAACCTTGATCCCGGTCCCAGTAAGGCCTCCATTAGGTGCTCTGACTTCTGAATCAATTTGGCTTTTGGTATACAAAGGCAGTGAGAACTTGTGGGGAACATGGAAAATGGGCTTAGGATGACAAAGTATGAAACTTGGAAATGGATGGTTTGGTATTTGGAGCATTTGCTACTAACTACACAAGTAACTCGTCTGCTTCATTTGAAATCTGATGTGAAAGTGGAAGACAGTAATTCTGTATTTGGGATTGTAGGGGAATAGGATTTCTTGAAGGAAGAAGGCAAAGCTCTGTGATGTCATCAAAGAGGGCATGTCCTTGGTTAGCGAAAACCAAAAACGCAACAATCTTTTATGATTTCTTGGTACGCTAAAGCTGGTACGAGAATGGGAAGATTAATTCTATAGTGAAACAAGAGATTTATACTTATGGATCGATTTCTTGGTAGATATGGGAAGTTCTGAGATTATTTGGGTTTCTCTCCTCTTTTGCATACGAGAAGGCCAAGGAAGAAACCTCGAGCTTCTTCCAGAGGTTCAGATGATGCTTTCTGACGACACAAACTGATAATGTTCTATGCTTAGTGACTTGGTTTACTTACGGATCGAAGTCGATTTGCCGTGGTGGAATTCAACCTCATTCGGTTTTCAATTCAAGCATCCAACTTGAGCATTGGTTTCATTACCAGATTTAGATTTACAACTTGGAACGAACGTTTTTCGTTCATTTGTTCGGTTTGGTTCTGAATTTGGTTACTACAAGTTAACCATCTCGAGGATTGATATAGTGTTTTCTCCTCCCACAGTAATTTGGAGGAAGAACCAAACTTCATTTACCAAGTGAAAGAAGGTGACTGCATATACAAAAATAGACAGACAACATGTGTACCAGCTCATTTCTGTATTTATATTGCGCCTTTTAAATTAAGAAAAATAAATAATATTAATACTAATTCAGAAATCTTGAATTTTATATTAGAATACAGCCTTAAAAACAGATCAAAATCTCGAGCAAAAATAAACATAAAAGCCCTGGATTTCAAAAATGCATGCCATGACATGACACATATTGCATATTGTCAATAGCAAATAAATAAATGCAATCCATGGGTTTTCTTTATATTTAATGGAACTAATTTTTGTTTTAATGATGAAAAGAAAAGAAAAAGGGAGAAACAAGGTATGCAGTTCCACTGTTGATTGGGTGAAATTATTGTCCTTTCTGGTGTTTGGGTCAAAGGTATTCTCAATGATAATCTATGTGTTCCACTTATTACAATATTTACTTCACCAATCTAACCTTAGGCATGTCGGTTACTTTTTTCCCCCACCCAACCAAATATATTATCTTTTTTTTTCCCTAATCACAATTTTTATTTTTCCCACCCGCACGAAATTGCAAAAAGTTCCCCCAAAATTTAAATAAAAAGACTAAAAATATTAGTCATTTTCTAAAAATATAAATATTTCTGAATAACCAACGAATTAAGCAGAAATTAATATAAATATCAAATAACCAGTAATATCCTCTACCGATCATCAACCAAAATTTCTATTTCGGTGTTTTTATTAATTAATAAATCTCAGTTGGTATGATTAGATTCAAATTCGAGATATCTAAAGCTAATGCTATGTATATATTTACAATTTTTGTTATGAATAAATTAAAAAAGGGAATGTGAATTATAAAAGACATAGATGTTGTTGGTAATAAAGTTTGTTCACTCACGCTTGAGTTTTGAACTCTCTTTATAAAGTAACAATTCATCATAATAGCTTTTCAGTTTTCAGTAAAATTTCTTTTCCTTTTCCTTTTTAGAACATATGTGGTCGGTTTAGGCTATTATGTATTTTTGCCCTAATTTTGTGAGTGCAAACCCTAGGGTATTTTTATTTTATTTTTTAAATATCCCAAACCCTGACAATTTTGTCCACTTGTATTTACTTGTATTAGAGCTTGGAATATTAAAATATATACGTATGATTTTAAACGTAACGCTATATGGGCTATACATGTTTCGTAATTAAAGTGATAATTGGTTCGATTGAAAAGCCTATCTTTAGGATGTAATTTAATTTGTATAAAACGAAAGTCAACTTAAAATATAATACATGTATTGCTATCTAAACTTGGATAATTAAATCGGTGAAATGAGGTATAGAGCGTCTATTTTGTCCTGAGTTCGAACCTTAAGTTGAAAGTTTTCATATACCAAATCACATGATTGACTTCCGGTTTTGAGATTAGTTTGAATTCTAGTACAAAAAAATCGGTTACCGAAAAAATATATATATGCATTGATATGATGGAAAAGGCCTTCCTATTTCTCATATGTGCTAAAGTGGTGAATTAACGAAATACAATATCATAAACGAACGAATTATTATAATTGACTACAAGATTATATAAATTGAATAACATTAAGAATTAAATAACATTGTAGATTGAACAACACAAACCACTTAGTTCTTGGTTCCTAGAAGGCTTTCAATTTTTGTAAAAGTTGATAAACCTTCAAGCCCTTTTGCTAAAATTTTCGTGAAAAAAATAAATAAAAACTAATTAACCACTCCACGAAATCAATAATATCATATAATTCAAAAACTTATTCCACATTGGTACGTAAAAACGGTTAGTTTGAAATCTAGGTATAAATTATGAATATATTTTCATGCCTTTTTATAACAATTAAACTCAAAGTTTTCACAAAGAAACTTATAACATGCCATACTATTTAATGATCTGCATGCACGCGACATAAGCAATGCAATGTGGAACACATACAGTACAAGTTACTGTCGCTTAGATCAATTTGTTCATATACATAATTGCGTGTTGGAATCAACAAGCCAAATAGCGTATATGTATGCGATTGTTTTGGTAAATTTAATTACTTTTTGTGATAAAATATCTGCGCGATTTTTGCCTAACGTTGTCCAATTTATTTATTTTTTGTAGTTAATCTTGCTCCCCGAAATGTTTAAGAATTATCTTATAATAATGTTATAATTATGCTCGTATAAAACAAAATAAAATTTATAAATTTGGCAAATATCATTTAGGCGTACGACAGCATCGTATGTAGATATGGAAAACAGGACTTCGGTGTCTCCCCATGGGAAAGCGGTTTCCCGCCAGCTGACACGTACACGTCAGCACGTCTTCTCACACGTCATTCCATATCCATTTTGGTTGAGCTATTAATTTATTCCTTCGAGATGTTGTATACTTTATTTTACAAATGATAAATCTGTTATTCACTTACAAACAAAATTTAATATATTTAAAAATGCCATTAAAAGGAAGACGATCTATATTTATGTAAAATTAAAAGTGTAAATTAGAGGCACTATTCGTAAATTTCATCAAATAATTTTTCATGAGTTACATGATAATCGTTTTTTAGAGATCCTTTGGCACAAACTTTCATGAACATTTTCACGGTACCATCGGTTACTATAATATGAAACAATTTGATATGATATTTGACGATGTATTAAATGATGTCATTGGATCGATTTTGTCGTGCAATTTCGTGATGAAATGACAATTGACACTCATCTAAGTCATGATAAGACAAAATAATTGAATATGAATATATATATATATATATATATATAATCTCAATTGGTTTTATATAACCTAACAATTTCCCTTTAATTGTTATGGACGATGAGGAAAACGCATCGAATACGAGGAAATCGACACCGTTGATCTCATATTAGGACTGACTAATCCAACGGTGAGGGCTGACCGAATGAACACCTCATACGTCACACATCCTCCATGTTTAATTTCTGATAATTTTATTTGTATTTGTATGATCAGTGTAATATGTTTATATTATGTTATTATTAATATTTTTTCACTCTTTTTATTATTAATAATGGTATTATGTGGTACCATTAAAAAAAAAAGATACGTTTTTTCCACATTTTAAATTATTAAGGGCATTACTGATTTTGATGTGATTAGACCGCCCATCACTTTATTGCAGAATATTAATGGATATGATATTCGCATATGGACAATAATTATTTTCACGTTTTTGTTTTATCCCTTTTTTAGTTTCCCAAAAAGTTATCTCTTCTCCTTGGCTTATTTCATCAAATATGTTTTTGAAATTTTTGTAACGAAATGTAGAGCGACATAAATAATATATAATTTTAGTATTTTCATTTTCCATGAAACGTGTTTATTTAATATAATTGTTAATGGGTACAAAAAAATATTCTAAGTTCTATGCGTTACGTTCAATGTGATGGAGGTACGGTCCCGTGGAAAGAATAAGTGGTTAGTACGGTGGCGCGTGAACGGCGCGTGGTAACTCTAGGCGTTGTCTGTGTGCCTACGTGGGGTGGCCCCACCTCCTCACGCCGGTAAATTTCTTACCGTCAAGTGTTTTGCTCTCTTTTTAATTAATTTTTTACGCCACATTTTATTTGATAATATCTTAATACATGAGTTAATATTTTCTAATATTTATAATTGTACATAAATTAAATTTATATCACCGAATGATTGATACCTGTTACGAAATAATTTTATTTATAAAATTAAATAAAATGTATATAGTGTTATATTGGCCCCAAATTATGTCATCAAATGCCATATATTATTTTTGTAAAATATGTATTTACTTATTATATATATATATATATATTATATTAACTTTTCTTAATTTTTTAGCGTTATTGGTTACTTTTAATTTTGATTTTAGTATTATTTGAAATTAATTTTCTTTAAAAATCTCTTATATTTTATATTTTAACGCATTTTGTAATGTCACGTTTTCTCTTTTTATAACTTTTGATCCATACCATATTACTAAATTCAAGTTTTCATAATAATGCTATCTTTATTTTAAAATTTTATGCTCTAATTTGGCTTAAAACGTTGTTGTCCCATTCCAAATAAATGTGGTATTACGGCATTGTTGTTGTTGTTTTTAGATAAATTTGATCATGCCATATATATATATATATGTCATATAATCTTTATGAAAGTTTCTTTTATCCAAGATTCTTCAAGGTTTTAGTTTGAACTGTTTTATTAAAAATTTAATAATGTGAAGAGAAGAAGATTATTGCATACAGACTAACATATAAATATTCTAGAAAGGGGGGGAAGAAAATAATGAGAGGATAAAAGAAAAGGTTAGTGTGGCCGATGACAGATTTAGATTCCGATTTCCAATAAACGGCAAAGTATATAGCAAAAGAGTCCTTCTGAAATCCAAACCAAAAAAAAAAAAAAGCTTTGGGAGAGAGAAGAGAAATTCTAATGGCCACACTCTCTCTCTTCTCTGTTATCTTCTTCTTCTTCTTCTTCTTCATCTTCTTGTAATTTAACCTCTTTTTCCCATCCCAAAACGACATAGTTTTCATCTTCCGAGCTTCAAGAGAGTACAGTCATGGACTTTGACGACAACGACGAGCAAGAAGAGGAGATGGCTCTTGACGAAGACGCCGTCTACGACTCTCCTCCTCCACCCCACCATCCTCTGCCGCCGGCTAATTCCTCCCGCTTTAAGTCCGGTAGCCCTGAGACGGCGGGGACAACCGCGTAATTCTGTATTTGGGATTGTA